TGATGGGTTGTTGGGCTGTGTTTAGGGAGGGTTAGGACACTCTGATGATGGGTTGTTGGGCTGTGTTTAGGGAGGGTTAGGACTCTCTCTGATGATGGGTTGTTGGGCTGTGTGTAGGGAGGGTTAGGACTCTCTCTGATGATGGGTTGTTGGGCTGTGTTTAGGGAGGGTTAGGACACTCTGATGATGGGTTGTTGGGCTGTGTGTAGGGAGGGTTAGGACGCTCTCTGATGATGGGTTGTTGGGCTGTGTTTAGGGAGGGTTAGGACACTCTGATGATGGGTTGTTGGGCTGTGTTTAGGGAGGGTTAGGACTCTCTCTGATGATGGGTTGTTGGGCTGTGTGTAGGGAGGGTTAGGACGCTCTGATGATTGGTTGCTGGGCTGTGTTTAGCGAGGGTTAGGACACTCTGATGATGGGTTGTTGGGCTGTGTGTAGGGAGGGTTAGGACTCTCTCTGATGATGAATAGTTTGGGTGTGTGTAGGGAGGGTTAGGACTGTGTCTGGAGATGGGTTGTTGGGCTGTGTGTAGGGGGGGTTAGGACACTCTGATGATTGGTTGTTGGGCTATGTGTAGGGAGGGTTAGGACTGTGTCTGGAGATTGGTTGTTGGGCTGTGTGTAGGGGTGGGGGGGGGGGGGGTGGGGGGGGGTTAGGACACTCTGATGATGGGTTGTTGGGCTATGTGTAGGGAGGGTTAGGACTCTCTCTGATGATGGGTTGTTGGGATGTGTTTAGGGAGGGTTAAGACACTCTGATGATGGGTTGTTGGGCTGTGTGTAGGGAGGGTTAGGACTCTCGCCGATGATGGGTTGTTGGGCTGTGTGTAGGGAGGGTTAGGACTGTGTCTGGAGATTGGTTGTTGGGCTGTGTGTAGGGGTGGGGGGGGGGGGGGGTGGGTGGGGGGGGGTTAGGACACTCTGATGATGGGTTGTTGGGCTATGTGTAGGGAGGGTTAGGACTCTCTCTGATGATGGGTTGTTGGGATGTGTTTAGGGAGGGTTAAGACACTCTGATGATGGGTTGTTGGGCTGTGTGTAGGGAGGGTTAGGACTCTCTCTGGAGATTGGTTGTTGGGCTGTGTGTAGGGGGGTGGGGGGGGGGGTGGGGTGGGGGGGGGGGTTAGGACACTCTGATGATGGGTTGTTGGGCTATGTGTAGGGAGGGTTAGGACTCTCTCTGATGATGGGTTGTTGGGCTGTGTTGAGGGAAGGTTAGGACACTCTGATGATGGGTTGTTGGGCTGTGTGTAGGGAGGGTTAGGACTCTCTCTGATGATGGGTTGTTGGGCTGTGTGTAGGGAGGGTTAGGACTCTCTCTGGTGACCGGCTGTTGGGCTGTGTATAGGGAGGGTTAGGACGCTCTCTGATGATGGGTTGTTGGGCTGTGTGTAGGGAGGGTTAGGACTCTCTCTGGTGACCGGCTGTTGGGCTGTGTGTAGGGAGGGTTAGGACTCTCTCTGATGATGGGTTGTTGGGCTGTGTGTAGGGAGGGTTAGGACTCTCTCTGGTGACCGGCTGTTGGGCTGTGTATAGGGAGGGTTAGGACGCTCTCTGATGATTGGTTGTTGGGCTATGTGTAGGGAGGGTTAGGACTCTCTCTGATGATGGGTTGTTGGGCTATGTGTAGGGAGGGTTAGGACTCTCTCTGATGATGGGTTGTTGGGCTGTGTTTAGGGAGGGTTAGGACTCTCTCTGATGATGGGTTGTTGGGCTGTGTGTAGGGAGGGTTAGAACACTCTGATGATGGGTTGTTGGGCTGTGTGTAGGGAGGGTTAGGACTCTCTCTGATGATGGGTTGTTGGGCTATGTGTAGGGAGGGTTAGGACTCTCTCTGATGATTGGTTGTTGGGCTATGTGTAGGGAGGGTTAGGACTCTCTCTGATGATGGGTTGTTGGGCTGTGTGTAGGGAGGGTTAGGACTCTCTCTGATGATGGGCTGTTGGGCTGTGTGTAGGGAAGGTTAGGACACTCTCTGGTGACCGGCTGTTGGGATATGTGTAAGGAGGGTTAGGACTCTCTCTGAGGAAGGGTTGTTGGGCTGTGTGTAGGGAGGGTTAGGACTGATGAGATATGGCTAGGACATTCTTATAAAACATTGGTAATAATATAAGTACATGTATAAGAATATAGAAGTGTCCTTCATGTAGGAAATGCTAAGTAATAGTTATAAATAACATACAAGAAACCTTATGCACAGGCTCAGTCGTGGATGGTCCCTCATCATTTTGTGTGCTTTAGGCCATGAGCCTATGGTTGTGGCTTCGAATCCAGGAATTTCCCTGATTATGATCACAGGTTTGTCAGCAACCTTACTGTTCCCGTGGGATTCACCGAAATGGTAAATGTCTGAAATGACTTTGGACATCACTCCCTTATGAAGCAGACAAGCTGTGATAAAACTGAAAACATATTCAGGACTCCCAACCCATAACTCACACGGCTGGTCAAATAAAAAATACATATCAAAATACCCTTCCGAGGTCTACAGGAGCTAACATAAGCCTTCTTATTAACATGCTTTTAATCATATCTGTTCACAAGCCGTCTCAGGATAAGAAGGAAAGAAACAATACACTGCACTCAAGCCTGCTTCCCTAAGGCAAGTATGATAAGATTTGAAAACAGAGAATGTACTTTCAAATAGAGTGAGTGAGTGAGTTGGGTTTTACGCCGCTTTTAACAGTATTCCAGTTATATCACGGCGTGTCAGCTTAATGTGGGAGGAAAGCCCGAAGTGATGCAGGTATCAGACGTTTACCACTTCGGTGAAACCCACGAGCACGGGTATCGTGCTGACAAACCTAGAAACATAATCGGGGCGAACATGGATTCGAACCCACAATCACAGGTTTCTGGCGTGCCCAAGGGACGCAACTCTGCACAGCGAATCGCGACGCCTTAGACGACTGGGCCACCCGTGCCCCCACTTTCAAAAAGATGTCATTCCTGTTACAATACATTCTCTCCAACAACGGAGCAATTGCTACAGAGGCAGTGAACAACAGAGCATCTGAATCTATCTCAAGGGCACATTGTTTTCAAGATAATCACCCAAAAAGTGCTCGTGAATCAGGATGAACCGGAACACGTGGTGTTGGGTTCTTACATTATACAGAAGCCTTTCTCCACAGAACTCATACGTAATTCCAGCCAATATTTGAGTATTCCAAGCATGCTAATGGCGCTTCCCATCATTGCCATCCCGGCGGATCAAGGATTGCTAATGTTGCCCTGTCTCCGCGAGTGGGGCAACATTTCGACTAAATATAGCCTCAGCGTTCGCATTTCTAGAGCTTGTGACAATCTTTTCTTTGCGGAGGTACTTTATATGGAAATTTTCCAATTAGCCGAAACGCTATATAGACCTTATGTTTCTTAAATGGGATGTTGTGGGATCTGCAAAAACTTCAACCATCGCTCTGGCGCGTTCTCAGCAGGGCTTGCATAAAAACGAATCCTGATTTGTGGAGAAAATTAGATAAAGACTTCAGTGATTAGAAAATGATTTGGGTAAAGTCCTTGGAAGTCTGATTCATTACTATGGAACGTCGTTGTATGAGCGATATCATATTTATATGTTACATGCGAAAAATGAAATTGACTGGAACCGTCGGAAATATTTGTACCGGGTATGATCTTAAAGTGAGTTATCGGTTGGGTATGGATTATTTGCACCATTTAGTAATTTGGTTGATAATTAAGATAGTTCTTTAATAGGGAAAAAAATGTTCATTGATTCGATAATTATCACTTTCGCTTCATTTATTGTTAGGAATCATGCTATTTTTATTAATTGTGTTTCACGCGGATGAATTATCAGTAAATATAATGTTCAACATGAATTTCATTGACGTAACAAACTTGCAAAGCGATGTATCATATTTTCAGTCTTTTGTGACACAGAAACCCTTTCACTTCCCGATTTGTTTATAACGAGCGATAAAAATTAAAGCTAGATTAGACTCAAGGGGGTTATGTGTTTGGATGAAAATGAAAAGACACAGATGAATATGGAAAACCCAAAAATAAAAAGGTTTTTTTTTTAGATTTTTCCTACATTGTATTGTTGTGCAATAGATTCAAGTTTGACGACCAGGTCATCATAACACTGCAGCCAGTTTTTGATAGATTTGACGCTCAATTGCAAAACACAATATTACATAACAGTTTTTCATGCTCGAAATAAATAACACATTAAGCCGACACGCCGTGATGTAATCTTATACTTCAAAGCGTCAGTTTTCTATTATTGTTTGAAAAATAATACGTGGTATATACTCACTTTTATAATTAAAAGGAAAGAGGAAATAAAAAATAATAAAGTAATGTTTCTTTGACATGAATGTTTAATTATTGTATCGCGGAGCAAAGACATCACAACACCAAATAAAAAATACGTTCATGTTTGAAACACATCTGCACATGCAATTGAAGAAATACTAGGTGTCCTGATACGTTTATGACGTCAGGCAGGTATGAAAAACGTTATATATAATTACAATGCAGTCATAAATCCTCGGAAGAACTATTAATACTACTCATATTGACAGCATTGTGTTAAAAATACATACTAATAGTTGGAACGAAAAGGTATTGAAACAAAGCCTTTGACTTTAAAGCACTGTTTACAAATAAGTATTTTAATGGATCAAACAATAGTTAAAGTACATGTATTTGCAGTTTGACGTTCGATAACACCATGACATAGATTAGGAACTGTGACATTGGGTACAAGAAGTGAATTTGTGAGTTTTTCTAATAGCAGTTTGTTTCTACAATGCAAACTAAGGCAAACTAAGGCTATCATTAGCATAACACAATGGAGGATGATATATCAATACTGTGTTGATTTGTTTGTTTGTTTGATTGTTTGTTGTTTAACGCCGCACTCAGCAATATTCCAGCTATACTAGGGCGGTCTGTCAATAATCGAGTCCAGACAATCCAGTGATTGACAACATGAGCATCGAACCACGCAATTGGGATCGATGACATGCATCATCCAAGTCAGCGAGCCTGACCACCAGATCCCGTTAGTCGCCTCTTACGACAAGCATAGTCGCCTTTTACGGCAAACGTGGGTTGCTGAAAACCTATTCTACCCCGGATCTTCACGGGTCAATATATGGAGATAGGTGTCCATGGTTACATCGGTTATATAAAAAAAAACACTTAGTCTGACCATTGACGTGTGGCGATATAAACGACGTTCGATGCACGATCCTGTTTGATTACTATGTAAATAATACCTAAAGTATTTACTGAGTGTACAGAGGAATATACAATTAAACAATCTCTCGATGTTTGAAATACTTATTCATTTCGGCGGCCGACATGTAAAAAAAGAAACACATTAAACAAAATACAAACATGTACAAAAACTTGAATACAAAATCAAAATATATCTTCTCGCAATGATATATATTTTATCGTAATGAGATATATCTTCTCACAAATATCCTATATCCGATGTTCGAATATTAATCTTCATCAGAATCCGGGTTCGTTTCCCCACGAACTAATCACCGTTCCAGTTTTGGATAAAACGTTTGATGATGCAAATCAGTGTTAATGGGGGGTAGGGCTCTTGTCCTGCACTGGTTTCTTCTTCTTCCATTTCTCCATCATTCTGTTGGATTCTCTCTCCATCTTCTTAAAGTAGATGCTTGCCCCCCTGTCCTCAATCTCCATATGACGTAGAAGCACAGCCTCTACCTGTTTGAGGTGCTGGTGCGCCCTCTCCTGAATCTGTTCCATGCGTTGTTTGTGACGTAGACGAGCCTCCTGTATAGAGATGCTGCTTCTTCGACACGCACTCTGTACCTCCCGCTTTGGTTCCCACAGCTCTCTCTCTCTCTGTGTTTTAGGGGCGGTTTTTTGGGCGGTTATGCAATTGCGCAACGATGTGCTGTCGCTGTTCAACATATATGAAGCAGACATTATGTGATGCAGAAACGAGAATCGGGTGATTCCGGAAATTGAATCAAACGATACGATTGATTTCTCCTCCTTAAACCATGTTATGGTTAATTTATAATTTCTCTATAATTTTGTATAACGACAATAGTTGCGTCAGTTTTTCGTTATAAAATACACGCTCAGAATAGCTGGTGAATTCCTGGCTCAGAATGAACTGCAACAAAACGAGCGTCACGTCATCATAACGGTTTAACTTGGAGATAAACATGTGTTTTCAATGTAGAGTTAGGTGACCTGTAGATTTAACCATGCTAAATTCAATTTGAAACCTATGTTTCTGCTCAAGATGTATTTCCACGCATACATTGATATTGACGTAACTGTAATTCTGCATGTTGTAGCCAAAACTGCGCATATTATTATTTACATTGCCTTCCGACAATGACTTAGAAAGAAGTACTTTTCGATAAATATTAGATTCCCCGGTGATGCGGCTGTTTTAATCACAGATGGTTATTGTGATTTTTTACCTCTGAAACGCCAATTTCAAGGTAGAATATTGAATTAACTTTTTGACTGTGTCACTTTGTCTGTTGTTTTATGCAAGAAACGTCCTTTTCATTGCGTATTGGTGTAGAAACGTAACAAAATCCCCTGTACGTTGAGTGAGTGAGTGAGTATGGTGGCACGCCGTTTTCAGCAATATTCCAGCAACATCACGGCGGGGGACACCGGAAATAGGCTTCACACATTGTACCCATGTCGGGAATCGAACCCGGGTCTTCGGCTTGACGAGCGAACGCTTTAACCACTAGGCTACCCGACCGCCTCCTTGTACGTTGAAACTGCCTTGCCATCATAAACAGTATGAACATTAAGGAGTGAATGAGTGAGTATGGTTTTACGCCGCTTTTAGCAATATTCCAGTAATATCACGGCGGGGACACCAATATGGGCTTCATACATTGTACCCATGTCGGGAATCGAACCCGGGTCTTCGGCGTGACGAGCGAACGCTTTAACCACTAGGCTACCCGACCGCCTCCTTGTACGTTGAAACTGCCTTGCCATCATAAACAGTATGAACATTAAGGAGTGAATGAGTGAGTATGGTTTTACGCCGCTTTTAGCAATATTCCAGTAATATCACGGCGGGGACACCGGAAATGGGCTTCACACATTGTACCCATGTCGGGAATCGAACCCGGGTCTTCGGCGTGACGAGCGAACGCTCTAACCACTAGGCTACCCGACCGCCTCCTTGTACGTTGAAACTGCATTGCCATCGTAAACAGTATGAACATTAAGGAGTGAGTGAGTATGGTTTTACGCCGCTTTTAGCAATATTCCAGTAATATCACGGCGGGGGACACCAGAAATGGGCTTCACACATTGTGCCCATGTCGGGAATCGAACCCGGGTCTTCGGCGTGACGAGTGAACGCTTTAACCACTAGGCTACCCGACCGCATCTTTGTACGTTGAAACTGCATTGCCATTATAAACAGTATGAACGAACATTAAGGAGTGAATGAGTGAGTATGGTTTTACGCCGCTTTTAGCAATATTCCAGTTATATCACGGCGGGGGACACCGGAATTGGGCTTTACACATTGTACCCATGTCGGGAATCGAACCCGGGTCTTCGGCGTGACGAGCGAACGCCTTAACCACTAGGCTACTCGACCTCCCCTGAACATAAAGGAAGGAAATACGGCATATAATGAAATTGTCGATGGCGATATACTGACCACAAAAAGTTAGGGATCATGAATATTTTGAGGGATATGTTTTTGGAGTGAGGACGTAGTTTCTTTGAATGCGTACGGTATATGAAAATAGTTCATGATCCCTAACGTTTTTTTCAGTTTTGGGTTTGTTTGTTAGTTAGTTTAACGTCGAACACAGCTACTCGGCGGTCTGTAAATAATCGAGTCTGAATTAGACAATCCAGTGATTGACAACATGAGCATCGATCCACGCAATTGGGATCAATGACAAGCATCAACCAAGTCAGCGAGCCTGACCACCCGATCCCGTTAGTCGTCTCTTACGACAAGCATAGTCCCCTTCTACGGCAAGCATAGGTTGCTGATCATGATCATGAAGACCAATCCTAAAACGGATCTTCGAGGGTAGTTTTGTTCAGTACATATGTCACATCAATGTTTATTATCAGATGTCACCGCTGGGGCTACGCTAATCACTTTCGCAGAACGAGATACGGGTATGGTGCTACACAATCTCATTAAAATCAGATCTTTGTTCTCGCTACCGCTAAACAAAGATCTGAGGACATCCCATTACGGGTCACGTCAGAACGACCTTTCGCGAATTTTGACCGACCAATGAAATTACTTAAAGAAATCGACATTGGCCAATCAGAAAGCAGCTTTCTCGACCTTTACGACACTAGTTTCCAACTGGCGACTACGCTTCGAAACATATTTTGACGTATTTTTGATTAAAAAATTTTAAACTGATAAGAAGAACATTCTGGAATGGCTCATAGATGGCTTAGGTTGTATGGATATAATCATAAAACCCGGAACTGTCGTTCGGAATACCCCGTGTTAAATATATCGTGGTTGCATGATCAGAAAACACATTCCGACTGTCACTTTCATGATCTAGTAAGCGACGCTATGATTGGTCGGATGAAAGGTCTTTCTGACGTAACCCTTAATGGGATGTCCTCAGATCTTTGTTTAGCGATTGCGAAAACTAAAATCTGAATTTAATGAGATTGGGTGTTACAGAACCAAGAATAATAACATCCTGACACACCAAAGTTACGCAACTCTGCACAGCGATTTGCGGCACCTTGTGTGCCTGGGCGTCGACTGTACAAATGTTTGCATGACCAATAGTAGATTTAAAATCAAAAACTTTTCTCGTGATATGTTTTTATAGAGTATATCGTATCTTATTCATATTTTTATTGATTCATTAAATACTAAGACCAGATGTAAAGAAGACTAAAATCTTGGAAGCGTTAAGATAATAGTACAGGGGAGATAACTCCTGTTTTCCTGACCGTTGTACAGGTTCTAAGAATTCTAATGATTTTATTTAGGCTTCTTGGGTTTGCACAGATGAGTATATGGTATTAGATTGGTTGGTTGGTTGGTTTACGTCGCACTCAGCAATATTCCTGCTATATGACGGCAGCTCAGGAGGGTATGAGAATGCAGTGTCGTGTATAATTTCGAATTCATTAAAATATTTTATGCTCTTTTGTCTGCGATGAGAATAGAGTATAGAGAATACATAAGTAGTGTACACGTTTATGTTAATACAGGTATCACAGAATGGTTGTCCGAACCCCCTGTTTTGAAAAACATGTCATGAAAATATAAGATTTGATCGCCGTGAATGAGTGAGAGAGTTGGGTTTAACGCCACTTTTAACAGTATTCCAGTCATATCACGGCGTGTCAGCTTAATGTGGGAGGAAAGCCCGAAGTCATGCAGGTCTCAGATATTTACCACATCGGTGAAACCTACGAGCACGGGTATGGTGCTGACAAACCTAGAAACATAATTGGGATGAACCAGGATTCACAACTTTCTGGCATGTCAAAGGGACGCAACTCTGCACAGCGAATTGCGGCGCCTGAGACGACTGGGCCACCCGTGCCCGTTGATCGCCGTGGGTCAGGGTCCCGTTGTAGAAATTAAGCAAACTAAACGCTAGGATGATCGTAAGCCCAGGTACGGGAGATCCCTTTGTACAACGGCAACCTTTTGTACCACACGTGCCAAGGCATTACCCAGGGGCGCAACTAGGCTATTTTAATGTATGAGCAAAACCAATTTTACGAGGGCACGAATCCCCGAGGGGCATTTTAAATAATATACTGCAGAGCTGGTAAATTGAGGTTTACCTATTTTTTTTTAAAATGTGCTTTTTTAAAGTGTAAAAGAAAATTGTGCTTTTTTAGGTGCAAGCACTTGCTTTTCTGCTACAATAGTAGTTTCGCCCCTGTTATGTGGCACCAAGCAAATACATTGTATATCCACCGTCGTATCTTGCCTCTGCGTCAGCTTTTTATCAGCAGGGGTTTGTTATTAGACCTGTGAAGAGGTCGATATTTGACGTCAAGTCTACTAAATATCATTATAGCTAAAATGGATAGAATTATCATTAAACTGTCCGCATGTTATCAGAAATGAGCGGGCCACTGTAACTTGATAATGCCCTCATATTGCTTGACGAGGGGCCATTATCACTCCCGTTGTTAGGTGACGTCATAGGATAGGATAGGTGACGTCACGTTCAATAGTGACGTCATCTGGTTTGTTCTATGACTCATCCATATTTGTAAAAGTGGGTCAGTGACATTCGTGTTGATTGCAGCATATGTTTCAAACCCGATATTGTTGTTTCTTTTTATTATATACATATGAATGAAATACTTGAATTTATCAGTAAAGATAGATCAAGTTATCAGTCACTAGTGACTGATATAAAAAAAAGTTCTATCAGTCACTAGTGACTGATCACTCACCTACCCAGAGTTCCATGCGGCCGGCAGCCAGCTAGCATAGTACCTCTGCCACAGGCCAGCGCAATGTGACGATTCGTCACATCTTTCAGTCCATTCAAGATATTGCATATGCTTTTCATCCGTTTCATGTTTGACAAGTCTACACATTTTCATAAACAAATGTCAAAGAATGGTTAACTTTCATTGAGAAAGTATGCAAATACTTAAAAATCTACTTGTTTTTGCGTAGTGATCCTATGTTTACATTGGTTGTACGGCTCCACGTGCTGTCATCGAAGCCCAACGGAGAGCTAGCGACACGGTCACTTTGATGCATAAATATATATTGTTATGCAACTCACTGTCGCAGTTGTAGTAGCATATCTATATAGTTATGCAAAACAATATGTAAATCGCCCCCAAATACTTGCATTAGTCCGTTCTATACTGATTTCTGAAAAAGCGCGTTTGTTTACAAACAAGAGAAAAGTCCGGTACGTGATATGCAAATTAGCCTGTGGCAGTGGTGTTATGCTGAGTCACCACTGCGACGGAGTGTGTAATGACTGATATAAACAAGGTTCCGGAACTATTTTCTCCGGAATCAAAACATTAAAGAGTTATCCCCCTTTGTTTACGTCAGATGCCGACTGTACTCAGTCTCAACCGCAGGTGCATAACTTCTCTTCAACTGACCACAGGAACTTTTTGACGAGTCTCATGTCTGGATATAAAATCTTTGGCAATGTTAATATCACTCTTGCGCCGGACATACTTCGCCAGACATTAGGCACAAATTGCAAGTAATAAAAATAAAACATGTATATAATAAATAGAAAATTCAATGTGTTTTCTCAAATACCACTTTATCTCATCTCGTGAAGTGGGGAGAGTCTAATATTTTCACTCGTGACTGCGTCACTCGTGAAAATATTAGACTCTCCCCACTTCACTCGATGAGATAAAAGTGGTATTTGAGAAACACATTAAATATCCTCTATTTATTTGATAAAAAATTCCATCCATTTCAGCTATAATAACGGTAACGCTATTTTTCAGGGCATTATCATTTGCAGAAGCCCTCGGGCTTTTCAACTGCCCTCCTTCGTCGGGCAGTTCATGGAAGACCTCGGGCTTCTGCAAATGATAATGCCCTGAAAAACAGCGTTACCCTTATAGTAAAGTCCCCAAATGAGAATGAAACATTTCCCCATTGACCTTAATATAGTTATAAACAATGTGATGACTTGTGTTTCACTAATAACAGCATCCGCTCAATTTTATATCAATGCATGCGCATTAGATGCAGTAGTAAAATATACTGTTAAAAGTAATATGAAATATTAAAATAAGAACATTGAAGTGACCAACAAAATAACATTTATCCCAAATTGCCTGCCAAAAGTATTTAGTTTGGATTCCTTGATAAATCGCTGCATCTGTTAATTTCGCTTATATTACTCCAATATAAATGGCTAAGAAATATTGGGTCTCGTGAATATAAATTTATTGATGAATTCAAAATGACGTGAATGCATTAAATTATATATCACGCGCACAAGCAAGCGTAAGACTATTACGTGTCTTTTAGGGCTGGGACGAGTCCAAATTTACTACCCGGGTACCAACCCCCTATTACCCGACCCTACCTGGGTACCTGCTGTAGGTCTCAAGAGGTAGGTACAAACTGTCCGATTGGGAAACGTTTGACTGTAGCTCTCGTAAAATGTGTTTAGATACATGTATGAAAAGATCTGGGCCCCGTTGGACAAAGCGATCTTAGCGCTAAGGTGATCGTAACTCCCATGCCTTAACATAGTCTTACGTCAGTCGTAGCGCTAAAGTTGTTTTGTACAACGGCACCCTGGTGTATACACTGTAGTTGACTGAAGTTTTATTTTTGTTCAAACATATAAAAGTCAGGAGGAATGGGCGTAGTAGTCAAGGAAGAACTGCGAACATTAGTGACTTATAGTTTAAACATAGAGTTTTAGATACTTTTTGTCATTAAACAATATATCACGTGACTAACCACGGGTCCGGTTAGTCCTGTGGGTACCCGGGTCCTACTCAGTACCGACCCGAGTACCCGAGTACCCGAGTACCCGAGTTACCCGTCCTAGCCCTAGTGTCTTTGGCAACCTGAAAAGTATTCACCGAAGTTAGGAAAAATGTTATTATACAGTAAGGTTACTTATCTGTTTCGTATTAAATAAAACGTTCTTGTTTATCAGAACCCTTGTTTGGAGGAAGAAGTTGTTCTTATTTTTTCTTTCTTCAGTTGTTAAAACTCTGTAGATGCGAATCGAGGATCAAATGAGTGGAAAAACGAAATTTGAGTTCAAAACGACCAAATAACGGTAAACAATTGACAATGTTAAGGAGTAGGTCATTCAAGAATTGGATGTTTGTCGTAGGTCGTAGTAGAGAAGTTAAATACTAATTAATTCCTTGTTTGGTTAATATGTGTAATTAAGATACATAAGTCCATCAGGATATTGATATTTTTATTTGGGCCTACAGGGGTGGGATTTTGAAAGGCGTGGGGCAGCTAATACCCAAGTGACTTGACTGAGGGTGAAGTTAACAGGTGAGGTGTCTGTAAAAGCGGTTAGACATTCTATTAACCAATTACACAATCAGATAATTCAAGACTGTTGTCGGGACTCTCCTCGCAACATCCATGTCGCTGTCGCCGATCCTGATTTCCGTGCAATCAACGTTGCGCGTTCATTATATACCAGGAGTACACCCCCTCGACAGACGCTAATCTAGATTTTATGGCGTTTCAATCATTCTCGTCATGCCTGACCGCGGAGATAATTTGATCGCTCGGGAAATCAGCATTGGCCGAACTGAAACCAGTATTGCCGTAGACCCCACGTCTGGCCCCTATCTGTTTGTCTGTATGTATGTGTGCATGTGTACGTGCGTGCGTGAGTGCGTGCGCTCCCATTTGTGAAAAGGGTAGACTAATACTAACCAATTAGTCTATGAAAACATTTCATCAATATTTAAAAAAAAATTAATTCAAAACAGCTTTTAGATTACCTCTTCTGCTGTTTTCTTATAAGGAAACTATACTTGGTTTAGTTTGACCTAGACTTGCGAAGGCTGTGAGTAAAAATATATAAACTAGTATATAAATCCCATAGTCATGGCGCAGGAATGGGAAAATGGGATCGGCGTGCCCTTATATACCGCAAATAATTTGCGAAATAATTCATGGTTGTTGGATAAAACATTTTTTAGTTAATCGTTATTTTTGTCCTGATAGCAAATGCTTTAGGTAAGATGTATTTAATTCATCAACACGATTAGTATGGTACATGCCTACCATCTTCCATAACAGATATCTGTGAAGAATTTCAGAGGAAGACGGCCCGTGAAGAGATGTCGAACGGCAGGTGGCGCTGTGCCGTAATTATGCCAAAAATCCGCCTTCGGCAACGTCGGAGTGGGGCGCAATCTGCTGCTGAACTTGCATCCGGCTATTTGATTGACATTTGGAAGTGTGTAGCCACATTTGTTCCGCAGCTCGTTGATGTCCCCAGTTCGCTTAGCTGTGATGGGAATGACGCCCTGTTCATCGAACTGCTTCGATCCTGTGATTGTGATTGGTTTGGGAGGTCGGATGAAGCCCCGATTCATCTTTGGTCCCGGTGTGTATTACAAGAAACCGCGAGATGCGTTTACTGTGTCACCCACATCACTTCGACAAGGCTTCCCGAGCGACAATCGCGTGACGTCATAAACAGCATGTGGATGAAGCTATGACGTCATAATGTTATGACGTCATAGAAGTGCGGTGTCACGTTAGACCAGCGACATATCGCTTTGACGTCACGACGTTCAAGGATATGCACAGCTAGTTTTAGCCCCGGGGCGACGTTTCGTAACGGGATCGTGGCGCTAAGATGATCGTAACTCCTTCACATTGACTAACGACACACATTGCAATTAGATCGAAAATGATGTTTATCGACCGCTAGTTTAGACTATGTTAGACTATCTTTCCCGTTAATAAGGCCCCGGGTTCAGAGATCCCCTTGTGGATGTCGGGGTAGAATTGGACCTAAGCATACACTAAGTTTACACCTATACCTTACCGTTAGAGCCGACTAAATGGATCGGGTGTGAGGGCCCCGTTCCACAAAGCGATCGCAGTGCTGAGGTGATCGTAATTTAACTCCCATACCTCAAGATAGACGCTACGATCGCTTTGTAAACATGGGCACATTCTCAGCACGGGGCACCGTGCCCCGCCAGCTGCGGATGTTGCTAATGTTATCAACCACAAGGTTGTCTGACTCGATATTTACAGGTCACATTGATATGACGAGAACGAGGGCGGGGAAGGCTTCTCCGGTCCCTGGACACTAAAAAAATAAAAAAATAAAGGTGTTTAAATGATTCCTGGTAAAAACATTTAATTAAAAATACGATATTGCGGCCAATAACAAAAATCGAAAAAAGGTTCGGTATATTATATATTTTTCTCAATCCAATTTTAACTAGCCTTATAAAGTTTTTTCTTTTGTAACTGGGTAAAAGGATGCCATTTTGCTTGATGCTGTAGAAGGTAAGTTATATTTTACACCTGTGTGAATTACGGGTCAATGTTCGTTAAGATCCGGGGTAGAATAGGTCTTCAGCAACCCATGCTTGCCATAAAAGGCGACTATGCTTGTCGTAAGAGCCCACTAACGGGAGCGGATGATCAGGCCCATGCACTGACTTGGTTGATGCAACTCATCGAATCCAAATTGCCTGGATCGATGCTCATTATGTCAATCACTGGATTGTCAGGTCCGGACTCTATTATTTTCAGACGGCCGTCATACAGCTGGGATATTGCTGAGCGCGGCGTTCAAAAATCTTTTCCGGTCCTGTTTCCATCTTGATCAGTAAATAATATATTGTTGCACGATCCAAACTATAGGTAGTCGTACTGAGAAGGTGATTCATGTTGTGTGTCGTTAGATCACGACGCTTGCACTTTGGTGAAACGTGTAAAGTGAGATGCAGATTTGGATTTGGAATATATTAGGAAATCACAACGCGACCGCCTGAAGCTCTGTGTGGCCACAAATCGTTTATAGGGAGATGCGTTTACTGCAACTAAGAGCAATACTGCTCTTTTTCAGATCTCGTAACGCGTCACCGACTTGCTGTGACATTGACTGACAAGTGAAATCGACATTAGGTGTCAATTTATGAACAGCGATGGATAAATCTACATGCTCAATGAAGCATTTTTATCATCAATGCGGAAGAACTCCCGCGCTAATTAGGAAATTTCGTTGAAAGGTCACGTACTGACTTCAAAAATCTTTAATACTGTGAATATGTTTATGTTGATACCGGACGCCTCTGGTTATAATAGTAATAATAATGATGATGATGATGATGATGATGATGATGATGATAATAATATAATGATGATGATGATGATGATGATAATAATACATTTTAGTCGTTAAATAGTGATAGCACCGGTTGTGTGTGAATAATTCCTTTAAAGTGTAAGCGGACAATTTCCTGCATGAATACGCCCCATGAACGCAGCTACAATTTCAATGCAGTCTGAATAACGTCTACGACTTTATTTCTGTACCAAAATGTGTAAATACAAACACGGAGATTCAATAAGAATTCCCCAAACTTTTCCAATGATATCACCATGAAGAGAAATTATAAGATTGCAACACGGAAGCTAGGTTGAGTTACCTCCCTTCTATGAATCGCCTCCAGGGTAATCACACCGAGGTGATCATATTAATCTAATGGGAAATTCCTTCATATTTTCCGTGTTGATTCATACTCAGCAAGCGTGCGAATGAATGTATATTTTTTATTAGCCATTTAAAACTCACAAAACGGCGATTTGGGACCGACGGAAGACAAGATACCTTATGCAGTTAAGGAACATGTGAGGTATTTAGTGTATTTGAATTGAGGGTGTCTACCCAACGCCACCCAGCCCAACCCAAGCCCCAAGCCCCACCCCCTCTCGAGGCATCCGAGTCAATTTGAGTCATGTCAGTGAACACAGCTGGTACAAGTACATTAGATGCGACCTCATAAGCTTAGAGCTATACTTTTTTTTATTGATTTATCACACTTTGCAAGAAAAAAAAGGCGAAAAACACATTTCAACACATACATATTATTTTATTTTATATACTTACAGGGCTCGGCACTCAGAGTGAGTGGGTGAGTGAGTGAGTATGGTTTTACGCCGCTTTAGCAATATTACAGCAATATCACGGCGGGGGAGACCAGAAATGGGCTTCACACATTGTACCCATGTCGGGAATCGAACCCGTGTCTTCGGCGTGACGAACGAACACTTTAACCACTAGGCTACGCGACCGCCCCCGGCACTCAGAAGCAACGTGTGCAAAGTCAAACCGTATCACCGTTTGTTATCTGCACTGACTTTAGTAAGTGTTTGTTTCTTTTTTGTTTAACGCTGCACTCAGCAATATTCCATCTATATGACTGCGGTCTGTAAATAATCGAGTGTGGACCAGATAATCCAGTGACTGACATCATGAGCATCGATGCGCGCATTTGGGTTACGATGACATGTATCAACCAAGTTAGCGAGCCTGACCACCCGAACCCGTTAGTCGCCTCTTACGACAAGCATAGTCGCCTTTTTCCGGCAGGCATGGGTTGATGAAGATCTATTCGACCCTGAATCTTGGTGGGATGGATAAGAAAGAGGAAGGACTAGGTGTAACGTGACTATCCGACGTACTGAAAGGGTGCAAATAACCATGACAGGCGACATGGGTGTGTAGTACAAGATGAATGTTTGAGGAGACTTGATCAGTAATAGGTCATGCGCCCACGATTGGACATCCGCCCATACGGCCCGGCCTGGTCCAAGTTCCAAGTTCGGCTAACTTAGGGAGTTGCTTTTGACGTTGGCAAAAAATGCCCCCCGGTCATGTGCCAGTGACAGCGGTCTGTAAATAATCGAGACCTGACAACCCAGTGATTGACATCATGAGCATCGATGCACGCATTTGGGTTACGATGACATGTATCAACCAAGTCAGCCTGACCACCCGATCCCGTTGGTCGCATCTACGACAAGCATAGACGCCTTTCACGGCAAACATGGGCTGCTGAAGACATATTCTACCCCGTATACTCACAGGTGAATACGACACAATAGATGCAAGGGGGATTGCATTCCTGGATCCGCTTGCACAAAGCAACCTGAGCGCAATGACCATCATAAGTCCCACACTTTAACATAGGCTTTAGCGCTCAGATTACTTTGTGCAAATGTTTTTATACTGCATGTATAGAGGGGGGTGTTTGTTAGTTAGCCACGACATCACATCAACAAAATCAGTAGTTCGTATCCCATTGGTAGTGACCATATTGTAGAACATACGACGCTGCGGTCTACAGTTTTATGTGGTGTGTATTTTGGCACTAAAACATGACACTCACAATAACTACTGTCTTTATGATATATTATATCTCATTAATAAATTGAAATAATTTAGAAGTAGATGACATATCATCTTTTAAATAGGACGACAGTGTAATAAAATATCAATGAAAACGAGAGAACGGTTTCTTGCAGTCTAATGAGTACTTACCTTAATGTATATATAAAACCCCTGGCGAGACGGGTTAAAATTGATCCCCAGCAACCTATGCTGGTCGTAAGTGGCGACTTAAGGGATCGGGTGGTCAGGCTCAGTGATTTGGTTCATTGCGTTTCATCATACCCAGGCGGCGTGGGTCGTTGCTCACAATATCGATCACTGGATTGTCTTGTCCACACTCGATTATTTACAGGTTGACTTCATATATCTAAAGAAACCTTTTAGGGCCATTTGTATTTTTTAAAAACATTTTCTTGAACTTTCAAGATACTAAGTTGAAATTTCAAGATATCATGTTGAAATTTCAAGATATTAAATTGAAATTTCAAGATAGTGATCTTGAGATTTCAAGATGATAATTTGAAATTTCAAGTTAATATCTTGAAATTTCAACTTGGTATCTTGAAATTTTAACTTATGTATCTTGAAATTTCAACATAACATCTTGAAATTTCAACTTAGTATCTTGAAATTTAAACATAACATCATAAAATGTCAAGTTATATTTTAGTACCTTGAAATTTCAAGAAAAAAAATAAATAAAAAGACAAATGGCCCTTAAAGGTTTCCGTATACATGTATATCCTATATTTCTTTGAACCCAGTATTTATTTGAGACATGGCCTGTGTTCCTTCAGTAAAGGTTAGGGACATAGTTTCTTAAAGGGGATATAGTTAAAGTATTATTTAGTAGACCTGTGGTATATGACACGGTCTGTGTTTTGGCCAGGTGTGTATTACAGGAGGGAGACAGGTTTTAATTAACTGGAAGAAAGGTGACTGAATGAATTTAAAGATTGCTCCCTAATGAATTAAGCAACCCAACTTGGTCACATATACAATATACTACGATTATGGGTGTGTTGAAGACTTGCAAAGCTTTTGAAAATTTATCGAGAAGGTTTTGAGGGTCCGTTCCACAAAGCGATCTCAGTACTAAGACGACTCTATGTACCATACTTAAACATACTAGGGTTATGGTAGTCATAGCGCTAAGATCAATTTGTGGAACGGGGTTCTGCACTTATTATGAATCGGTCATGCAACCTGCGCGCTCAACATAACCGTGATGAATATTAATTGGGGCGTAATCACGTCTTGAC